ATATTACTTAATTACCTTTCAATTTTTAGACCTACTTTGTATACTTAGGAAGTGTTTGAATATACCAGCACTTTACTGTCCTGATGTAAAGCATTACCAGTAAAGTGGTCTGTCCATGCTACAACACCTTTAAATTGTATATATAATTTTATAAATGATATAAAATCTGTTTCTAGTCCATGAAAAAACACACTAGCACCACACACTGCAATCTTGAAAGGATTTAAAATATGTGATTTCTGCTGGTACCTACTGTATTGGGTTTTATATAAAGCTTTTTTCAATAAGGTAAATTGTTACATGACAAACTCATCTTCCACCATTATCATCTGCTGTTTGTGTTTAACAACAGGAGTCCTGGTCTAACAAAACTGTTGTAATGGCTGTACAAATTACTCAGCTGAAAGCTTTTCACCAAACCAAACAGTATTAATCAGCAGTTCTTATGAAGGTGCTAATTAAAAACAATTTTCTTCCTCAGTTTGCAATACTAAGCCATCTTCATTTGCACAGTTTTCAATATACAGCTACTGTATACACTCACACTTCAGGGCCTCTATTAACTATTGAATCTCCTATTACCTATTTTATTACATTCCTGTCTCCCAAGTTTAGAAGCTTGTTGACATTTTAGAAGTCACAGCATGATATGTTTAATCATTTTAAAAGTACATTAATTGAAGTCAGAGTCAGGAAAAAATAACAGGTCTTTTAGCGTGCAGGCTCTGGCAGGGCACAACACAGGCTGAACGTTCAAATCCTTTTCTGCTAGCATAACCCTTCACCCAGGGGCAACATTTTACAACGGAAGGGGGACGGCGCCTAATGCAGAAAACCATTATTTTTTTGCTTGTTTTTAATAAGCAATCTTATACACATGACACTGTGTTGGTTATCTGCAGGGAAATGCATCCAAAATAAAAGATACTTTCTGCTACTGAAGGCCTATCGCTCCTTTGCTGTCGTCAGCCACAACAGCTCTTTGTTTTTGGGGGCTTGGCATCTGTTGAGTTTAACCCAGATTCGAGGGTCAAGATGTTTCTTCTCAGGCTGTGGAATGCCATCTGGACTACTGCTCCGTGCATCTTCCCTCTACTTTCCACACACTTTCCACACAAGAAGACAATGAAGATCCAGTGCCGCTGTTGGACAGAGACAGAAAATATCCAGCTTTTACCCAGCCACAACAATATGCTGGGCTTTTTGGCAGCAAGCCAGCTGCTGACTAAGCAAGGAGCCTTAATAGGCTAAACTCTTTGAAAAATGGGAAAGTTAGGTTTGTTACATTCAGCTGTTAGAACAGACTCCACAGGTAGGAGAGGGGGACGGATCTTGCAGAGGAGATGCTGCACTCAGCCTCCCTGGGGTCAGTTCTGGAGTGTATTAGCTGCTTTCTGAATGGCTATAGGCAAATAAAACAGCGATATTGTCTGTGCCTCAGGTTCCCTCGTATGGGGAATGAGCATGATTTGGGGGAGCCCCCCCCGTTACTTAAACATTCAGCCAAAAATTCGCCAAGTCATATATCAGCTTCCTTTTAGCTTTATGGGGTTTCGCATCAGGGTGCCCTCATTTTGCCGGGGTTAAGTAAGTGCTGTTGCAGTGCAGATTGCAATAATATTGAAAATCAGCTTTTAAAATCATCTTTCAAAAGATGCTGGTGTGCTTACAACCACTGTTAGGCTACCAATTTGTGACAGCGAAAGCATGACAAACCCTCTAAGTCAGACTCAGGGAATCTAAAAAATGAATAAAAAGACAGAAAGCAACAAAATGGTCTCTTTCTGAGGAAACAACATAGCATGACCATGTTGTGCAGAAAACCTTTTCAATACAATCACCAGTGCACACTGTCCTAGCACCTTCACCAGCATCTCAGAACATTTTGTGAGAGTTAAAGGAATTCGCAGTTTGACATCACTGTTCATTCCCTGATTTAAAGAAGAAGAAAACCACACATAAGGAAATCCAGGCTAAACTATGCATTTATAATCTGCCCTGTGAAAAGACAGGGACCTGGTTATTCCCCTCTCGCATCAGGGAGAGCCAGTGAAAGATGGTGGTAAAACGCTTCTCTGCTTGACTTGAAACGTGTTGCTGCCTCTTCCCGCTGCCATATCAGCTGTGCCACCTGCCATACGAAGAGGTGGATCAAAAGCTCCACCCACTGCATCCTCTTTTGTTCGGGGAACAGCGAAGGAGAGTTGTAATGGAGATATGACACTCGATAAAGTGCATGCAGCCAGGCTCAAGCCGTAAGGATGCACTTTGTGGGGAGAACAATTTTAATCCTGCTTCCCTCCTCAGGCAAACACGTAGCCATTAAGCCACAGGCAAAATGTGAATCACTTGTCTAATAAGGATTTTGCAGCTGGACTGGTACCTGGGGTAGTAAGTTCTCCTGCCCCATCTGACATTCTTAAGACACTTCTCATTTCAAATCAAACTTGTTTCCCAAATGGAAAGATTTGTCCCGTTGTTCCAGAACGCCATCAGACAGGACTAGTTTGTAATTTTTAAGAAAGCCTTTGCCAGATCTCACAGCAGGAAACGGAATATTTTTTTTCTTGGTCTTTTAGGTTCTGAAGATCACAACTCGCTGCCAGTAGCACCAGCTGCATTAGGGCTGTGCCCAGGGGAAGGAAGGACCACAAGAAGATCATTTCTCTCTGCCATTTTTCTCTGAGAAAGGAGGAAGACACAACGTTGCTCTAAAAACTACTAGCATACACAAAGGAAAACTTGCATCAGCCTAACATTTCCATTCTCAGTGAGGACAGCACAGCTCTTGCACCGTGTCATTCATCTTCAAAGTGCTTTGCAAACACGAAGTAATTGAGCTCAATATGCTGTTACAGAGCACATTAAAAAAAGTGGTTTAGATTCAATAGATTAGTTAAAGCTTTCTTAGCAAAGATATTTCATGTATTAATAAACACTATATTTTTATTAAAATTTAAGAGCTCAGAAACAATTCACCAAGTCCCTACTCATATGAGTGACTCTGAGAGACGTCTCTAAAAAAGAACACTTTTAGTGCCTCGTACACGGTAAATCCCACATCTGTGACTTTTCAATACCCATTTTAAAACAAAGAATCAAGAAGAGAGCTCGCTTATATACCTCTAAAAATATCTACACGGACCAAACCTGCAAGCACTTATGTAGATGAGTAACTTTACTGCCTGTGGAGCTCCAATGTGAGTTTGCAGGGTGAAGCCTAAATGCATCTCTGGTAAACAAGCCATCAATTACACACTTTAGAGATGGCAGCACCTGTGCAAAGCCTTCAACTCAAACGACAGACACTAAAGAAATAAAAAGCAATTATCAGCTACTAATTTGAGTAAAACTGTTTTCTTCTTAGAGCTAAAACCACAATTTTCAGTGACACTGGTTCTATTTTTGGCAACTAACAATCTTTATTAGATTATTGTACAGCAACCATTCAAGCCCTCTCAAAAACAAAAGGCTCACAAATTTTAATATTTCACTATTTTTCACACTCCTTTGTTGATTATAAAGATTTCCTTGTACATGTTTTTAGAGAAAACAAAGGCACTGCTGTGTGGGACGAACAAAACAAAACTAATTAAACTAAAGCCACCTTCACAGCAATTTTAAATTATTCCTAACTGCTTTTGATTTCTTACTAGACAAGTATCTACCAACAAGACTTTGAATATGAAACTCATACCAGCTATAGTGGAGACATACTACTCAGTTCTAGGATAAATGGTTGGTTTGCATTGCCCCTGGTCTTTATCTAACACTGAGAATAGGCTGCTTTTTATCAAAAGAGGAATAAATTGCTGTTATTGTGATGTTAGCCCATCACTTGGCATTGCAATTCAAGTTTTTGTGAGAAAGAAATGTATGATCTAACTGCGACTTGACCTATGCCTTCTGAGATCCATCTAGGTGCTCTAATGGAGCATAAAAAGTGTTGAATACAAGGACATGCAAACCGGTAGTGAAGAAATTTGTTTGAGAAGAAGAGCAAGGAGAAACGGACTTCCACGAGCTCGTGGTTTACATGCTGCCCATTCTGTCAAATATGGAAGAACGCTTATTGCCGAACTGCAGTTCTTTAAATTAACGTATTTCAGAGCGATCCCCTACACTTCCTTGCTTCTAGTACCTCCCTCTCTCGGTCATAGTCTCTGACTCTCTCTCTTTTTTCATCATTTAAAAAATGTTGTGGTTTAAGAGACTGCAAAGGATTCTTTAATGACTCCGTTTGTTTTTCTGAGAAGTCATTAAAAAGGTCTATTAAACTGTTAAGAAAATAAGAAATTACTCCTGTTTCTGTGTAGGGCTTTTGTCTTTCCCAGTACAGGAAAAGTCACATTATATGTTTATTAAATACTTGGGCCACGATATATCACAATATAAACTAATTCAAGGGAGATAGTTTGATTACACTACAAAATCCTTTAGTTGTTATCGTATTTCTTGGAATTTATCAGAAAAGGATGTTTTTAAAAGCTATTTCTAGGATAGTAGCATTTAGATTTTGGTCCTGATAAAGGCTCACTTTCCATTCATAGTCAGAACCTAAATGTGCTCTTCTTGTACCTAAACAGATAATAAGCACTCAGCACACTCCCCCTTCTTGACACAACACACTGAGACTAATCACACATAATTGGAGAGGAGGAGCAGAGGGGCTGGGCAGGCTATTGTGTCCAAAGGACAAATGGTCAGTTTATGAGGCTTTTGTCTGATGCATAATTCCTTATACATCTACAGGAGGAAAAGTCCTGCTAGAAAAAAACCCATAGATACACACATACATAAAAAAAGCCTTCAACACTGAAGCAAATGAGAACATTTCAATCATTGGTGGAAAAATCAACAGTGGATTTTTTTTTTTTTTAAAAAAAAAGGTAGAAAAATCCAAGCGTTCAATAGGTGCACTTTTAAAAGATCTTAAGACAGCCATTTCCTTAATAATCAAATGTGAATGCATTTGGTACTTTATAACCAGTTATACAAGC